TCTGGTGACCAAGTCTATGGCAGTGAAATTAAATACAACCTATGTGTTGCACAAAAATATTTAGCCATTGCTTGCAAATACTGTGGGTTTGTTCAAATGTACTTTTAGTGTGATTGTTTTAAACGTGTAAAACTGCGCAGCATTAACCCACCAAATCATTTGACAAATAGTCACATATCAGTAACAGGCTAAGGCATTACATTTCACGTTCCTTGCAGATAATTCATTACGATGACATAAAATAGTGTGATCAAATGTTCAGGTAATACAAAAACGAATTTATTAGCTGATATATAATTTATATGATTCGTGAATTCCACACATCTCTGCATGGTGAAAACGACATCTCCCATCGTTGAAATCTTGACGGATTTACAAACGGTTTGGTTTCTTACAAACGTTATTAATGTGGCTATAATTCTGGATGATTATTTATTTATACACTTATTATTCATAAGTGTCATAACTACATCTCTGACGTTTATAACAAACCAAACCGTTTGGAAATCGGTAGAAAATTGAGCAAGTTATGGTTATTTAAAAAGTACAAGCACCATTAAAACACAATGTTACGAGTGAGCGAGCTGCCTGTGACAAGATGGCCGCCAGGTGCGGACGTCGACCTCCATTGGCCAGTAGTCTCAGCCTCAGACGTCACGCCCACGGAACGTTGGCTAAACGTCTGATGCATATGGTACACTTAACTGGAAACACTTCAGGAATGTCGAAGTCGTCATCTGATTGGTTGAATTTTATCAGATTTCCGGGGGGCGCGAGTGTCGCGTTTATTTTCGGTCCGCCAGGAAACAAAGCGCAGACGTGTGATTGCGGAAGAAAAACTGTTGTGTTTACATGAGTGACAATGAGCATTTATCAAGATCAGCTAAACGTAGGATTCTCAAAAGTATGCGAGGTTCACGGCATAGACTCTTGAAGTTTTCTTCTCCTTCTTTGATTTTCTATGCTGACTGACTTGTTGCACGCAGGTCTGTTGTTGTGGGGACATTTCCACGCACCGAAACGTGACGTTGAACGAAACGATCTGTAATTGGTTGTTTTACATGTCGGTCAAACGGCCTTATGGGCGGGCCTTGGCCAAAGGAAGCTGCTATGAATTCCAGACCTTCAGCCGTCAGTCTGAAGGTCTGGCTACGCGAGACTATTGGCCAGCAGCGCGGACGAGACATCTAGCCTTTATTATGGATATCTATGGATGTGCCCCCTTAAACCCAGCTGTACTCAGACCATAACTCCATACTTCATATATAATAAAGTATTAAAGACCTACTGACATTTAAAAACAAATTATAAGATTTCACAGATGTGTGTGTAGGCCTAGCATTGTCAGCTACAGTATTTAAAAAATAAAATGAAACTGAAAAACATCTGCATAATTAAAGCTTGCCAACTCACAATGAGGTCAGTAAGGTGCTTGTGAGTTTTACAGTTTTCCATGCTTATATTTTCTATGTCAGAAAACGTTTTAATTTCTTATGTGACAAGTTTTGTCCTCGGTTTTATTCAGGTCGACATGAAATGGAAGTTTCGATAGTCTTTTCATTGTGAAGTAACGGCCTCTCAAGTGAAACGGCCTCTCAAACAAGCACAAAGGGCGGGACTTGCTTTTGTCCATGGGGAATTGATTGGATTGTTGTGGTTTGCTACTGTTGTGATGTCATGTGAGTGACAGTTGACCTGTCCTCACGGCAGTAAACACAGTTGCGAGGAAAAGTTATTTTTATTAAAGAGGGTACACAAATTAACAAAATAAATAAAATGTACATGGAAATCATTTATAATATATAATAAATACTAGTCAATTTTAATTTTATGGTGACTTTATCAATGAGGTGTTTCAGCTTGATATGTTTGTTCTCACACCAATATTTAAAGCTGCATTCCGTAACTTTTTTGGGTTAAAAATTATCCAAAATATATTTTTTAGCAAGTACATATCCAGCCGAGTTCAAAACTATTTGCTTGCAAAACAGTGGTACTGGTGGATTTCCGCGGGAGATTCGAGCATGTCTTTGCATCATTACGTCACATCTGTACACATAAAGAAGGAGTCTCGGCTAGTAGACTATGAGTGGGAGGATTTTGGAAGTGGAAATTTATAGCCTTTTCTCACAGCACTTGATATAATTAAACTTATTAATTTGATGGCGGATCCAGAAAGGTTCAAACGACAATCACCAGTGACAACTGGAGGTACACGTTGTAAAATGCAAAAGACTTCGAACTTCGGAGTGGCTACTAGTCTCAGCCTCAGACGTCACGCCCACGGAACGTTGGCTAAACGTCTGATGCATATGGTACACTTAACTGGAAACACTTCAGGAATGTCGAAGTCGTCATCTGATTGGTTGAATTTTATCGGATTTCCGGGGCGCGAGTGTTGCGTTTATTTTCGGTCCGCCGGGAAACAAAGCGCAGACGTGTGATTGCGGAAGAAAAACTGTTGTGTTTACATGAGTGACAATGAGCATTTATCAAGATCAGCTAAACGTAGGATTCTTAAAAGTATGCGAGGTTCACGGCATAGACTCTTGAAGTTTTCTTCTCCTTCTTTGATTTTCTATGCTGACTGACTTGTTGCACGCCGGTCTGTTGTTGTGGGGACATTTCCACGCCCCGAAACGTGACGCTGAACGAAACGAACTGTAATTGGTTGTTTTACATGTCGGTCAAACGGCCTTATGGGCGGGCCTTGGCCAAAGGAAGCTGCTATGAATTCCAGACCTTCAGCCGTCAGTCTGAAGGTCTGGCTACGCGAGACTAAGTGGCTACAGAAAAAAAGAGACTGCAACCAGCCAGCCCATGTGAAAACAAGGATAATATCGGAAGGGCTTTAAATGTAGTCACGCAATGCTGATGCTGTTAACATTAACAATTTGAGAACAAAGTATAATTTGCACGGTTTTACGTGATATGATAAGCGTGATTTACGGCAATGCTTTTTTCCCCTTAGTTGGTCAGAATAAAAGTGGATGTTACTTACTTGTTCAGATGACATTTTCCTGTGTAAATTCTTATGCTCTTATGCTCTTATGCTCTTATGCTTTCGTAAATTCTTATGCTCTTATGCTTTCATAAATTCTTATGAAATACTTCCAAAAAGTAGAATCTGTGATTCTGAATGCCAGTATCCAGACCGGGCGCGGTGACTGACAGCAAAGTCCTTTTAGGGACTTTATATTTATATAAATAGTCTCTGCTGACAGCCGCACATTCTCCTCAAAACATTGGATTCATCCGCGCTGTGCCGTGCCAAGGTACAACTCACGTAAAGTTGATCATTCCGACAAAGAGGACGGCAGCTTTAAAACAATCAAATATATTTTTATTTGAATATGAAAAAGATTTAAACTCCGATGTTATTCTGCAGTTTGGTTGTGGATTAACAAAAATAAACTGACGGAAAACAAGTCGGTACTGAGCTCGTCTTGGTTTATTATGAAATGTAAAAATAATGTTTTCGCTCATGAAAGCATAAATGTTATCTTTTGTTTTGCTGTAAATTAATCTAACACTATAACTGACAATAATGTAGGCTAGCCACTGGGAGACCACAGACGGCTGTCATTCACTGTATTGCATTAATAGTAAGCCAGTTAATATATTTGTAATACAAAGTATTTTTCCAAGAGTATTTTCGTGCCGTGACCGTGGGGGCGGGAACATGTGTGACGTAGCCATACACTCTTACCATAGACTGTAAAAAATAAAATAAATAAAAAGGCTCTTCTCTTACAAGACCTTCTCATTCTAGCGTTTAATGGGCTCTATGCACGGCGGTATTTCCGGTGAAGGTCTAAGGATGCTGGATTACTTCCGCCGATCGTAGAGTCCAATGCTATACCGAGAATTTATATTGGTTTTTATACTCTATTGCTATACTAAAGAAACGTTAGTCACAAAAACAGACAAAACAGACACTCCTCATTTTGTTTATGCTTCTGTGTTTATTATATTAAATAAACATAACAATATATAAAATTATATCTAAACGTATTAAAGTTTCGTTTCAAAGACGAGAGGACAGTAAATTTTGAAGACTCTGCCATAATCCCGTTTTCCTCGGTTTTCCTCCGCTTTAAATCTCCCCAACCGGAAACGCACGAGCTTCCTTGCGTCAAACGCGGAAGTTATGCGTGCATATAGCCCAAGGGGTGCTTCTCAATATCCCTCCTCGTCTCCTCGCTCCTCCGTCCTCCATCCTATGACCCGGAAACCAATCGAGCTCAGCCATCTTGAAGGACATCTCAATTCTCTAATTGTACCGCGAGGAGGCAAGGATCGAGGAGTGAGGAGGCTTCCAGAGGAGCTATGAGCGAGGATACACAGGTGTACCCTTTGCGGAAGAGTTTTATCGACTAAACATGACGCACGTATCAATTCTCCTCCCCCTTCACATCTGTCACAATCATTTGAATTTATACTTTACTCTTGTAGTTTACATAAACCACACAACTCACATATTTCAACAAGGTATCTTGCTTTATTATTATTTATTATGAATTTCTTAAATAAACAAACTTTAACAACATAAGGGCAGATCCTTTGAGCACTGCTGATGACGCAGTGAAGTGACGTTCGAGTGATCAAGTATTCCAATGTATAAAAAAGCTTTCATTCAATTCCTCCGTCCTCATTTTGTTTTTCTTGCAGCCTTCCCTCGCGTCCTACAGGGGGTGGAGCTGAGACGCGAGGAAAGGAAGCGAGGAAAGGAAACGAGGATGCACAAATAAGAAATGAGAAGCACCTAAGGACTGGACCTTTGACCATAGACACTGGTAGGATGCAGCCTTCCGAGTTCAGTAGCGTTGATGTTTACATTACAGGCATAGCTCTAGAGCTGCGGGGAAATACCTTTGAATTAATCAAATCTATTATAATACTCTCTTATGAATTTATAAAAAAGTTTAATAATAACCCTGGAAATGTAGCAGTAACAGAGACGTAACGTTAGAAGTTACACTTATTGATATGAGAAGTGTTGTTGTGTTTACCCAGTAAACCATGATAGGAGTGGAGGCTGGACTCTACATCGGATCTGTGTCCGATGTGAAGGATCCTCAGAGCCTGACAGACGCCGGTGTAACACACATACTCAGCGTTGACTCAGAGGAACCTGCTGTGTCTGGATTCGACACGAAATTTGTCCGAGCTCTGGATGATGCGTCCACAGATCTCCTGAGCAGACTGGATGACTGTGTCAGCTTTATACGTGACGCTCTCAGCACACAAGATGAGTCCAAATCACCAGCAGTTCTTGTGCATTGCCATGTTGGGCAAAGTAGAAGTGCGGCAGTGGTGACTGCTTACCTGATGAAAACACAACACCTGAATCTTCATGATGCATATTCTAAACTCCAAAACTTAAAACCAGATGTTAAAGCTCCAAAATGTGCCAAAAGAAGTCTTCGCTGTTGACCCTGCACAAACCCAGAATGCAGAAGCTGTATACAGATGTAGAAAGTGCAGACGCACACTTTTCCGTCACTCCAGCATTCTCAGTCACTGTGTGGGAGAAGGAGCCTCTTCATTCTCTCATAAGAAGACGAGGATAGTGAGCCTTACAGCTGAAGATCAGAGACAGTGCACATCCTTCTTCATAGAGCCGGTGCAATGGATGGAGCAGGCCTTACTAGGTGTTATGGATGGACAGCTATTGTGTCCCAAGTGCAGCTCAAAGCTGGGCTCGTTTAACTGGTACGGTGAACAGTGTTCGTGTGGGCGCTGGGTGACACCGGCCTTCCAGATGCACAAGAACCGAGTGGATGAAATCAAACACATCAGTATATCTGCACTCAAATGACCAACAAATAAAGATCTGTATTGTATGCTCTGAAAAAAAAAAAAAAAAAAAAAGGATGCAGCCTTCCGTTTGAGTAACACGCATGATGTCACTGACGCGAGCGCAACCGCCAAACACGTCCGTCTAACGCGTGTTTTCATAGAAAAATAATGGAAAAGTAGCGTAGTGGAATGGGAAAACCGCTGAACGGCCCCTTATAACGACACGAGGGTAAGGAAATAATGACAGCATTTTCATTGTTTGGATGAACTTACTAACCCTTTCAGGACACATCTATGCACCGCCACACTAGGAGGCAGTAATGTCCAGTCTAGCTTCATTGCCGCAGTGAAGACCAACGCCGAGAAGAAGACGAACAAACGCTCCACAGTTTCCCCAAAGCAAGATGGCGGTGCAGGAGACAGCAGCTCAACTCTCTATGGCCCTAAAGGTGCAAGAATATCCAACTTTAAAGGTCTGTCATCCCTTTCCTCTTAATACTCTAATCGTGCAACTGAACAGATTCTCTATAGCGCTATATGACCTTCATAACCGATCATCAAAACGGAAATGATCGATCAGATGAAAGTATGTGGCTGCATTTAGACAGTTAACGTTAACTGGTTAGCTCTAGGGCTAGGCAACTTAGCAAAATAAGTCTCACACAAACACATTTCACCGGAGTGATCGCAAACAGTCGAGCTGTGACATCGGCTGTGTACAGTTATAAACCGATGGATCTATATAAAGGAGAGCAATAAGTCGAATAATGTCATCGCTGATCCGTGACACTTTTGCGTTCCGACAGTCTTGTTTTATTAGGCAGCCGCTGTATTATCCCATCACAGGTTTGTCCAATAGTGCAACCAATGCAGATTGACGAGAACCATTAGCGAGGTGGATAGTGACACGACTCGTAATCGGTTGTTTAACGTTAGCTATTTTATAATCGAGTACTGATGAGATCATTTCGTTGTGAACGCTGTCGTCTGAAAATATGATCTAGACAGAGCATGATATTCGTGTCTCTAGATAAATGCTGGAGGAATAGACACATGCCAATGGTGACCAGAGCTCGGTATGCAAGCGATTTATGCACCATATTAGGATCGCATTGCATCGTGTTGCGTTGATCAGTAGCAGATCTTAGCTGGTTATAGCTCAGGTGTTGATTCTCGATGAGGGGCTTATTATTTAATGGTTGGCATACAGCACCTTTGTTCTCTGCGCCACAGGGTTTTCCCGATTGATAGCGTCGATTTGTCTGAATCCTTGCGTTCATCGATTCCTTTTATTGTTTAATGATGAGTTGAATGCGTTGTAACGTGATTTAGTTAATTGATCTCCTGTAAAATGACGCCTGTTTATGTACATGCACACTGAATGTCAATAATATATGGTCTTCACTGCTGTGTCAAGGGCATATTGCATCTGAGCTTGTCTTGCAGCATTGAGAATGATTTCCAGTACCTTCTTAATCATTGCATCATGTTCTATCTAACCATGTAAACTAGTCACTTTTTTTTTTTCGTGTGCAAAATCTTAAGACACATTGGTTGAAGAATGAATGAACTAGCTCTTTTTGTAAGGCAGGCACTGATTCTTGTAATATTTTAGAGGGTCAGAGATCATTAAAATGAACACATATTTAAACAAGCAAATTATGTAACAGAATAGAGCTCTAAATGGATACATGTATCTTTTTTGACAGTTGTAATGAAAGGTTTTAATTATGAGTTTATAGGCATAATTGAACAGTAGTTTATCTTCTATTGTTTGATAAAGAAATCAATATCTTAAAATTGTTGATTGAAATGTGAGATGAATTATTAATCATTCAAGCGAAACTGAAACTAAATTCACTGCCAGGCTCACGTCATCTAGCCTCCCTCTCTCATTCGGCACGAATCCAACTGTTTCCATATTCGCAAAGTATTTGAATGCTAAACTATTATTTATTATCTAAACTAGGCTTTTTACTTCACTTGTGTTTGTGTCAGTTGTAATGTAAGGTTTAAAAGTCCCCATGAAATCAAAATGGAAGTTTTTTGGCTTTTAGTATAAATATGTTAGTCTGTAATCTATATACTATCTATAAGCTAGTGCGTCTCCAAAACAATGACACAATTCACATAAGATAGGCCTAAGCATTCAAAACTTATTATCTCACTTCCGCCAATACGGAGCAATGATTTTGATGACATCACTCTGCACTTCAGTTTCTCATCAGATTTTCTGTCCAATCAAATGCTCTCTAGAATCTGAAGCTCCGCCCCCTACATTATAAATAGCTGAAGCTGTGGCTAAAATCGGTCACTTGATCACACATTTACTATTTTCTACATGTTGAGTGACGCATTGTGCACTATATAGGCGATTCAATGCACTTCAGTGGGCCTTTAATTATGGGTTTAAGTTATAGGCATGCATGAATGAACTATAGTTTATATTTGTTTGATAATGAAATAAATCCATATCTTAAAATTGTTTATTGAAATGAAATATTTGATTCTGTATAATTTAGTTTTTGCGGGCTTAGTTGTGTGCTGATTTATGCATTAGTGCTTTTTTTTCAGTTTTCAGTAGTTTGCATGAATTCTGGCTTGCATTGAGGACCTTTCACTTCTCACTGCCTAAAATTAGGTTGCACATTGTAATCCAACAAAGGTTATAGCTTCAATTATAGCATTGACTGATGTAGGGAGTTTTTCTACTCTAAAACATCTGTACGTGAATAGAGCACTGCAAATGTTGATACTACTTATCTGCCCTGGTTGTAAGGTGACAGATGGCCTGATCAAAATAAACTGGCGGATACTGAGAGATAAGGTTGAAGTTTTATGCATCTCTGCCTCTTCCAGGGCTTTTCATTCTGGCCTAATGATCATGTCCATCTTTATGGCCTTTCTCTCAAATGGAACTACTTACTACTTATTTAGCTAATGCTGAATCTTACGAGTCTAGAATATTTGCTTACTAAGGATCCACTGGACATTTCAATGCTTAAATCACAGGATATAAATGATTACTAGAATGTAATTTATTGGGTGAACTAAACCTTTAGTGATTTGAGAGAGAGAGAAATGTAATGATGTATGACTGAGGTGCTTTTTGAATTGTTGTGAAGATTAATATTACCAAGCAAGCAACATACAAAGATGTTGTTGTAGCTAGCCGAAATTGTGCCTGCTAATGAAATTCTGTTGTTTATTTACCTCAACAGGTTCCTTATGAAACCTTGAACAAGCGCTTCCGAGCAGCTCAAAAGAATATAGACCGGGAGACCAGTCACGTGACGATGGTGGTGGCAGAGCTGGAGAAAACGCTCAGTAACTTTCCAGTGGTGGATACCGTAGTCTCTCTCCTGGATGGGGTGGTTGAGAAGCTCAGCGCCCTCAAGAGAAAGGTATGCCAATGCATCATGTTGAATTAGTTCAGTTTTACTGCATTTGTTCTGTTCACACTAAAGAGTGAAAGGGTTTCTCATCTGATAGGCAGCTGAGTCTATCCAAGCAGAAGATGAGAGCGCTAAGTTATGCAAGCGACGCATAGAGCACCTGAAGGAACATAGCAGCGACCAGCCGGCCAGCGCCAACGTTTGGAAGAAGAAGCGCATGGACCGCATGATGGTGGAACACTTACTACGATGTGGCTATTACAACACCGCAGTCAAGCTAGCCAGACAAAGTGGGATTGAGGTGCGTCTCCACTTACACAGTGCATCATGTAAGAGTTTTGAGCTGGTTCTCATATTGGCTGTGTTTTGTTTTTGTAGGATTTGGTGAACATAGAAATGTTTCTTACCGCAAAAGAGGTTGAAGAATCTCTTGAACGTCAGGAAACGGCTACCTGCCTGGCTTGGTGCCACGACAACAAGTCTCGCTTACGGAAAATGAAAGTAAGATGCTGGGTTCGTTTTCTCTCCCAGTTGCCGTATTCAAACATTTACTTGCGTTTTAACCGTCATTACGGACCCACAGTATGTTTTGTGGTTATATTCCTTGCAGTCTTGTGTTTTCATTTCAGAGATGTTTTGTCACGTAGCCTGAAGTAGGGCTGGGCGATAAAACGATAACGATAATTATCGCGATATAATTTCTTCTCGATAAAACGATATCAAGAGGTCGATAAATGTTCGATAATGTTTATGCGCCAAAAGCGGAACGAAACTCATTTGAACCTCGCGCGCTCACGGACTGTTTATCCGCTCGGCTCAAAGTCCAAACGGCAGCGCAGCGCAAGCTCACTAGAGCAGACGTGTTTACTCTGATCGTCTCGCTCACGAGATCCAGTGAGAGAAGCGCTAGAGTTCAGCGAAGAACACAAATGTTTAAAGGCAGATGAAACACCGCTGACAAACAGGAAAAACACTGTGCGCAACGATACAGTCAATCTGAATTGATACTGAATCCATTTAGCCTACCATGGATTTACTGTAAGGTTAGCCTAGTAATATTAACTGCACCATGAAATGTGGGATACATATTGAATTGTATAATATTATTAATGTAGACAACAATGTATTAAATGTCTAATGGAATATAATTATAGTTTTTAATAATGTATTTAACTGTTAGGCTACTGTTTTTCATACAAATACCATAGAAACCATAAAGTTACATTTTGCCATGATAGTGAGGTACTAATTTATAGCGTTAGGCGATGCCTGGTTTTATCTGTGGTTATCATGATCTAAATGCATGATACTGGATGACCAATGGTTAATTTTAATAAAACTCAAACAGTCAGAATATTACATTTTACCAAATAAAAATGTGGTTAATTTTTTTTTTTTTTTACAGATGTTACTGTTTTTGTTAATGAACATAAATTTAACAGAGTAGTATTAGCTTGAGTTAGGATGCAGATTTACTGTCAACTCACTGTCAAATATGCATTTCGAGACAAAACATGTAATTTGAATATTGCAGGCTGCATTGCAAACTGTGCTGAAGAAATATTTTTCTATGATATTAATTTTGTTAAGGAAAAATGACAAATGTTTGAATGTTCTACCTCAGATTTGTGAAATGTTCACCTGTTT